TTAAATATTGACAGAAGCAAAAGATTTCACTTGAGGCATTGCTTGAGATCCTGATTCTGACAGCTGCTTTTGGGGATACATGTAAAACAAAAACATGCTGAACACTTGAGAGGAATGTTCAGCAATAATCAGTGAGTCAATGCATGCTGAGATTAAATCACCTGAAAATATTCCGTTTCTGCACACAAACCCCTTGATAATAACACTGGAATGCTAGAACAAAAGTTACTCTGGGTTTATCTATTTTTGTATATTGTCATTTCTTCTGTTACTGAGCCAGGCACGTTTTGCCAGCTGCACTGTATGCCAACTGCCAAGATGATGAGTTTTGCAGCATAGGAAGGGTTTATTACTGAGGTAGCGAAGTGATGAGACAGGAGAACAAGTCTCAAATCTGCCTTCCCAAAAATGGGGATTAGGGATATTTATGGCATAAAGGGACAGGGTGGTCTGAAGTGTGGGGATAGATGATTGGAGGTAAGGAGTAGTAAGGTAATCAATGCTCTGCGCAAGCTTAGTCAAGCTTCTTGGTTCTTCATAGGATGCATGTTCACTAAATAGTGCTGTTAGCATGATCTGAGGTGGAGTTTTCAGCCTGCTGATCTCAAAGGGTCACCTAGAGGCATTCATGCAGGCCTGGTTGTTGAGTCAGTGGTCTTAACCCGCCCGAACCGGACAAGGAGTTGACTTTCAGTTCTTGAAAAACTTAAGCACCTGTTACCACGGTGACCCAAGAGTCAGAGATGTTAGCTATAGGATGGGCTTTAGTAATGCAGTATCTCACTACTTTTGTCAACAACCAACCGAGCATAGTCCAAGCAAGTTGGTCCCTGGTTTCATTTCTATGGCCTTATTTAAATCTACTAAATCTGTCATAGGCCAAAAAAGTGAAAAACCTCCCATAATAATCCTGAGTTTCTAAAATTTTTTTGATAAAATTTTTTAACTACACAATATTGTGCAATGTATTTTTATGTATTCATATTTTTATAACCTACTACTCTCGTTTTACCTTAACGTAACTTTGCTTATCATCGCCAATTTTTTTTCTAAATGACAATTGGCAAATCTTTGTCCAATATTAAACCATAAGGTTTATCTTTCCACTTACAATGTCGTTTATAAGCAACAGTGGTATAATAAAGAATTTATTTGGTCTTTGTCCCTAGGAGTGTCTTTGTTAGACTAATGAGGTGGTTCACTTGGGCCCCTAGTTTCAGGATGGGGGTTAGTCACCAGAAACACCAACCACATGACAAGTCAGCCAACTTTGGGCCAGCCTCACCTCAGGGGAGGGAATGGGGCTGGAGACTGAGCTGAACTATGTAACCAGTGATTTAATTAAACATGCCTATGTAATGAAACCCCAGTAAAAACTCTGGGCACCAAAGCTCTATGGAGCTTCCATGTTGGTGAACACATTGATGTGCCGGGAGGGTGAGGTGCCCGGATTCCACAAGGACAAAGGGTGCAGAAGCTCTCCATACCCCATCACTCCCAAAGAACTTGGTCTAAGTGTTTCTTAGTTTTTTTTTTCCTAACTTGCATTACTTTATAATAAAACTATAATTGTAAATGCAGTGTTTCAGGGAATTCTGTGAGTTCTTCAAGCAAATTATTGAACCTGAAAGGGTCATGGGAACCCCTGAATTTGTAGCCTATTTGGGGTATATCTGAAGTTTGGGGTTGGAGTCTGAAGTGGGGACAGTGTTGTGAAGGACTCTGCACTTTGCTTGTGGGGTGTGTGCTAACTACATGTAGTGTCAGAATTGAAATGAAGTGGAAGACACCAGTTAGTGTCATGGAATTAGTCACAGAACAGTGCAACACATTTTTTATCTTAATACATCTTTTGACAATTGAACTTATGACATTTACAGTCTTGATTAGGTTTGAATAAACATTTGTTGTTTTTCACTTGGTAGTGTACTTACATTGAATGGAATGGATTTTCATTTTGCCTTTATACGAAAGGAAGCAAGCAAATTATTGTCATTCCCACCTCAAATCCTTTTTGAATTGTTTTTCACTCTGACTGATATCCAAAAGAAACACTCATGATGAAATATCATTCACTAACATTTTATTTTCACTTTGATGCGTACCAGCAGAAGCTTGTAGGAGAAAATTTTCCATCATTACAGGTTCCTGGATCAAAAACCCAGAAAGCAGGGTAAGAAAATTTGTTTTTAGTCTGTCCTAATATTTTGCCCTGAAAAACTGGTGGAAGACCACAAAAGCAACAAAGCTGACTCAGCAGGTTGTGTGTGTACATTTTCCATAGATGGCATATTTGAAACATCACTTCCTTTTATTTTGTATAGTTGACCTGTAAGAAAGGTTAAGAGGGTGGGCACAGCTCCAAGGAACTGTTACACAAGTGAATGGTCTTAGGATAGTTTTGAAAATAATGAGGGAGGGAAGGAAGGTAGAAAGCCTGCCTCTCAAGGGATATGGAGCAGAATAAGCTTCAGGACAGCATTTGAAGAGACAAAGTGGGAACAGTGTCAATTTTGAGGAAACTAATGTTTTCATTAATATATAGACATGGTTTCAAAACACCTTGGTTGGGCATCAGTGGATTAGGAGTCATTCATTACTTGACTTAGCAAAACTCCCAAGATGCAAAACACATTCACTTAGTAATTAAAATAATCTTAGCCAAAGGATTAGAATTATTTATATGCACATAGAGCGTTTGTATCTTAACCAAACATGCAAGAATCTCAAATTACTGTATTGCTCTTTGTACAACCTACATTCAAATTTTAAAAGCAGGGATTACGCATCAGGTACACAAGCTGATGTCTGGAATTAAAAAAGGAAGTATGTCAAAGGAGAGAGATTAAGACAGATCTTACATTCTTTTCAAACTAGCAATGCTGGAACCTATTAATTGATGTTCACAAAGATGGCATGAACTGCAAAAATATCTTGAAGGGCCTTCTGAATGAGTGCATTTATAAAATAGGCAAATAACACAGTTCCCTTCATGGAGCTCATGATAAAGATTAGTTGATGCACACACAAACAGAATAGCACACTTTTAGTACAAGTCAGATGTGCAATAACTGCCAACTGAGTGTAAATACAATCTTGAATTAACCAAACATGCTCAACTGACTAGACCAGCCTTCTCAAAACAATTCTCATTATTTTAAAAAAGGAAATGAATCTGTCACGGACCTGAATTATTCTTACCTAATAAAGAAAACCAGACTTTAAAAATGAAAGGCGTTACAAATCCTAAGGTAAATGCAGTTTCCTGTGACAAACTAGAATGCAGTGTATTTTGAGATTAAGAGTTCCACAGGATTATTTCAAAGGAGACTTCTTACCAATACCAGGACTCTTTAATGGTTATAAGATTCAGAAATACGATGGTAACAATAAAGCAGACAGCGGAGTTTGCACCCCAATAAATGACTAGGATTTATTTCCTTACAAAATTCATAATCTCTATCTAATGAGTTCTTTTAAATCTTATTTCCACATTACATTAGCAATCAACAACCTCTTACCTTCTCAGTTTCTTTTCAGAGCAACTAACTAGGAATCTGCAGTCACTGCTTTTAGAATTGCATTTATCGGAACTAATTTAAAAAACGTCTGTCTTCTAGAATAATTTAATTTTCTTCCTCCACAATCCTTTTTTTTATTTTTTAAAGATTGGCACCTGAGCTAACATCTGCTGCCAATCTTTTTTTTTCTTCTTCTCCCCAAAGCCCCCTGGTATACGGTTGTATATTTTAGTTGTGGGTCCTTCTAGTTGTGGCATGTGGGATGCCACCTCAGCATGGCCTGATGAGCGGTGCCATGTCTGCACCCAGGATCCGAAGTGGTGAAACCCTGGGCCGCAGAAGCGGAACGCACAAACTTAACCACTCAGGCACAGGGCCAGGCCCCTGCACAATCCTATTTTTCAAACTGCACAGATAACTAGAAGGTTAGAATAATACTCAAGCAATATCAATATTGTATGAATTGAAATCAAACTATGCCTGAAAAAAAAAAATAACAGTTTTAAAATACCACATATGCCTAAATAAAAGATATTTTTTTCCCTTAAAATTACCCCCACTGAAAAGAATGTAGGGCCTTCCTACAGTCTGAAGACTTAAGTCATTAAGGAATGTCTTTGGGGAAGAAATTAGCCTGAAATGACCTCAATCAAAAGTAATTTTGGATATGTACATGGACTTAAAAAGCATATTTTCTCAACTTACAAATGAGGATGATATGCTTTAGAAAACTCTTTCAAGGGGCTCAAAAAGGCTCTAATGATGACAAGGACACTGATGTCAATGATGCATGAGAGGACACTGAATGAAACTGTTCTACAAAATGAGTTTAAAAATAATTTAAAATATTTATATAACATATGATTGACATTTAAACATTTCATCTAAATCTCTAAAAGTTTATATATTTAAATTTACCAAAAAACTTTTTTGGGGGAATCTCCTCATTGAGAAAACGGCATAGCCTTTTATTGGGCTAGGTTCAGAACTCAAATTTTAGAGGCACTTTTGCATTACGTGTTATTAACAGAAGGTAGAGTGACAGAATTAATGAGAATATGAAAGTTCATTTGATTACCCCCTTGAAGAGGCCTTCCCTGAACATCTCGGCTTATGTATCATCCTGTCATTCTCTAGTCCATTACTTTGTTTTTTATATATCTCTTCTCACGATGTGAAATGAATTACTTCCATGTATTCCTACTTGGCTCTCTTGACTGGAATGAGAACTGCACGAGAACAGGGACTCTGGCTTGTCCTAGGAAACTCCAGGCAGTAATAAACTTTGTAAGACGGAGGAGAGAGGAGGGAAGGAGATGAAGGCAAAGGCAGCCAGAGTGAAAGGAGTGCTCCAGCAGTTTACTTAGTCATCTAATTACGTCAGTTCTTTGTGGGTTGTTTTTCATGTAATGGGTATGTGCAAACCAAGGACTATCCATATATTTGCTCACTAGTCAAAAAACACCAAAGGAAAAAAACTCCGAAACTAGAAGGAATTCAGTTTATTCAGATAATTCTTCCTTAGGTTCCAAAACAATAATGTTTACAACAAGCAGGTTTTGTTTATAATGTTTGCTCAAATTTTAATTTGTTTTATTTTTAGAACCAAAATGCATACTTGAGGGGAAAAAAGGAAAATACTCCATTTTTTCATGTTCTGTTTCAAAGTGCAGATTTTTAAATGCAACAGTAGTTAGATAAGGTTTTTTCATTTCCTTTTTTTTTTTAAGAAATTAAACCACATGAAATAAAAATATCACAAAGACAGTATCAACAGAATCTGAAAGAAAAGCCTCCTTCATTAGAATATTTAACTTTTGGTTTACCTAACAGAAACATTTTTAATTATAAATTTGTAACATCTTTCCATAATCAAACATAAATCAAATGGCTGAGGCAAAATCATTTTTTGAATAACAGCTAATATTACTGCTTTATGCTTGTTCAGGAGTTCTGACTTTTACAGATTATTTTCAAATGAAATAACTATATGGACAAAAAAATACCTTATTTTGATACTGCTTTAATTCTATAGTCTCTTTCAAATTCTTTCTTTCTTTCCGTTGCAGTTCTCGGCTTGACTTGCCCCTTTTAAACATCTGTTTGTCAGAGAAGAACCCTAAGTATTCTGATTTTCACTCTATTTGGTTAATGTGACTTATCCTGGGGGGTTCTTAGTGTTTTCCTAAATTGAAAAGTTAGTTACTCCACATCTCATCTAATGGATTGGGCTGGTTTACACTCTCTTTGGAAGGCTGTGCTGGATAATATAAAAAGTTTGAGAAAACACTGAAGCTTTGCTAGCTATCTGTTTCGATTTAGCCAATGCAGAGCTTTTGTCACATTTCAGAGCCCTTTGGCACTGGAGAAAGGTCTACCCAGGTGTGAGCAATCTTTCTGACTGGGCTCTCACACGTAAACAGGAATGACTGCTGGTGGGTGGAGAGGTTGCTGAAGACCAGTTACACACCACACCCCTGTTCTATGACGATTAGTACAAAGACATTTTTCACTTTTGTGGAATACTGAAAAGGAAAAAAACTCTATGACCACAGCATTAAAGAACTTGTATTTGTGCTGTATCATTTAAATTACTGCAATATGACTAAACTAACAGCATAAGCTAAAGACATTATTCCCTATATTTCCTACAAAATCATTGAAAGAACCATTTAAATTGTGAAACACAAATACAAAAGAAATAATCTTGTGGAAAAGGCTCTTACGGAAAAAGGTGCTAAAATGTGCTTTAATTGCAACACAATGAACCCAAACTCCTTCAAATATAAAACTTAAAAAATCTCTACTCAAGGACGAACACTAAAAATACGCAAATCGAGCTCTCTATCAAAATGCATTTTACAAGTAAAAATTAGAAAATACTGAAATTAAAAAATTTGTCCCATTAGACACAGTACAATTATAAATTAGATGAATAAAGTATAAAGAATTATAAAATTGTTGGTCTAATGACCAATACGTCAAATGGCACAACTCTGCCATCAACAATGTATCAAAAAATATCAGAAACAAAAATCTTGTTTTAAAGATTTTACTACCATTGCTTAACCCGAATCACATTAAATGCAACGTTTACTCTCTTCATTCCATTAGAATAATCCCAACGGAAGACTTTACATAACTGTAATAGCTGTGATAGTGACATTTCAAAAAATACATTTCAAAATATTATTAATGTTTCTGATGGCTAGGTGGATAGTGAAAATTGCCTAATACTGTTCACTAAAATAATTTCATGGAAAAATTTTGGTATTTTAGATGTCAGAAATTGATTTCCTATTGCATTAGATGATATATTGTTGTATTTAAATATTTTACAAAGGGCTATATGGTTTATATTTCCTACCACATTTACATATGTTTTAAAATGTTAAAAAAACGTAAGTAAAAGATACTTGAAAAAACTTGTTAAATCTGCTTTATTTCAGTAGACAGAAGACTATTTTCAATGTCCTGGCTGAAAGGGTTCTTGTTGCCATGGAACTGGAAGAAAAAACCACAAAGATTTGAGATAAGTTAACGATGCAAACTAATGGTACACAATAGTATAGTGGAAAGAGGCGAGTTAAGTTAGAGCCAAAGATTTCAAACTGCACATCTGCCCTTCAGTAGCCATGGGAGCCTGAGAAAAAGTTAGTTTCCTCCTCTGTAAAAGAAAAGTAACATCGCTGCGTCTCTCAGGTATCCTGTGAGAATTAAATGGAATAAAGGATGTAACGTGTCTGGCACACAGGGCTCACTGAGCCCCTTCCTTTAGTTCCATTTATGATGCTGAATACAAGCATCATAAACAAAACACCTATGCGTGGGTCACAGGGATTTTCATATCTTTAGAAAGACACAGTTCCTGAAAGTGTGACAGGTACTCTCTATGGATTATTTGCATTTATGAACACTAAAAGATGTATTGCCTAATTTTTTTTAGAGCTACTTTTGGGTACTATAATAAATAGAAAATTGTTTCTTTTTCTTTTATTTTCACTTGACTAATATAACCAAGGAGGTAACAACTAAAATTTTTGAAAATCAAAGCTAGACTTGACTTATAGATTCAGAAATATCTTTATCATCAAAATAGCTTAATTATTAAGAACACAAGAAAGCTCATACTCTGAGAACCTTTATGAAACAATTATATTCAAGATTTTCTATTTCAGAAATTAAAGTCTACTCTAATTCATAGGTTTGCCCATGCTTGGTGTGTCTATCGTTAAGGCAGCAGCAGCAATGTATCAAATTAATCAAAAAGGAAAAAGCACCATCATACACTCTCCCATTCCCACTCCTGCTCTTTCTCCCCTCTATAGTTTTTCCTTAGGTTTTAAGTGAAAAATTTCCAGTCCTGTTTAAACTCATTTGGTGGGGTGGGGAGGGAAGGGAAAGACACACAGATAATTATGATACCACATAATACTGACATGTGAGAAACACACACAAAAAGTACTATGGAAGTACAAGTGGAACTGTCACATGGGAGACCAGCAAGAAGTTCAATGCGGCTTAAATACAGAGGTGGAAGTGATGGAGGTGAGGCAGGACTGTGAAGAGCCCTGCATTCCAAGCTGAAGTACTTGAATTTTATCCTATAGGTTATAGGGCGCCAGTGACAACTCCACTGGAAGGTGCTGCTGCACCTTCAGATTTCTTAATTAGAAATAAACTATGTTAACAGGCTACTTACTGTCTAATTCAGATAAATGAATCAATCAATTAATTTTTTCTACTTATTAATTTGTAACAGAACCCAGGATTGGGAAACAACTTTTTAATTTAAAAGAGATTCTCTAATTTTACTTACAGTACATTTTCCCTTTGATGGTAGAATATTTGGGTGTTAATGGATAACTGTAATTTTTGCAGACTTATTATTTTTAAAAAATTTTGCTTTAACTCTGGTAAATATACATTTCAATTTAATTTTAAAAATCTATGTTCTAATATTTTACAAATACAATTATGTTTAAGAGAAAAATTTTCAAGTTCTGGTGGCAAACTACCAAGCTGTTCTATCAACACATTTTAATTAAGTCCGTTTACTTACACCAAGATATTCTATTACAATACTCAGAGAAAGGAAGGTTTCTCTATCTGACTGAAGTTTCTTTCTCCATCTTGGTTTTTTACTCTATTTTTTCCCTCCATTTATCAAAATAATTGATGTTCATAGTAGAAAATCTAAAAGGTACAGACAAACACTCTCCACATACCCCAAATTTTATCACCCAGAGGCAGATAAGTTACAATGTTGGTGTATTTCATTTCAGTACTTCTATTCATTTATTTATTTACACAGGTAAACTTATATGATATATTCTTAAAAACTATCATTAAAAACTTTCATAAATTCTTTAATGGTTGCATATTTCACAGCATAGATTTTCCATAATTTACTTAACTGTCCCCTAAAGTTCAGTTTTATTGAAGGAGAGATTAGTGATATTACCAATTTTTTTTCAACCTCTGATACCTGGATTTCTACCTGACGACGTAATTCCGCTCTGCCTGATATTTGAACAATTCTACAAATGTGCACAAAAAAGTGACTGCTATATATCACTTGTAAATTCCACTTACATAAATGTACAAAGATAAAAGTAAAGACTCAATGAAGCAAGCATTAAAACTTGTGAAACTCACCGTAAGTCCAAGGAACGTCTGGAAGCACACCTGAATCAGGAGGGTAAGGGTATGCGGCTTGTGGTAATGGTTGATAGGAAGCATACTGTGAAAAAATAGGCTGCTGAAAATTGTAAGAAACAGGCATTTGAGATTGAAAATACCCATTCACTGGCACAAAGTCATGTGCTTGTGGCTCCCCAGCAAAGTAACCAAAATATTGAGTGTACAAAAGTTCAGAATGTATATTTTGGACAGTACTTGCAACTGCAGTCAACATCCCAGGAGGTGGCTGTACTTCATATGACGTTATCCCCTGGTATGTCTGGGTAATGGAACTGTCATTGCTACTGCTGTAATGATAGACACGCCAAGCGTAGTAAGGATATGAAGTTCCAAATGAGTGCTCAGAAGAATTATATATTGGGGTACAGGCCGACTGTGGAAGTCCATTCCAATACGCTGCAGCATTCTCAGTTAGGACTTTCGAACTTTCATTACTCTGTTGTTCAGAAAAAGAACACTCCGCTGTTTGATTCACATTAAGTGTTATGTTTCCAGATGCTCCAACAGGTATGGTACTGGGATTCAATGTATCCTTCATATATTTTTCTTTTGACTCAGTTTTTGCTGGCTGTGTTTTATTTATTTGCAGAACAGGAATTTTGTTCTGGATAAATATGGGTTCTAGAGAATTGGTACATGTAGAATTTTTAATAGATGAATTTAATATTTCATTATCTTCAAGTTCAAAGACAGTGTCATTCATTCCTAAGTTGGCACGGATATCCCTCACAAAATGAAAAACAGGCTTTGAGAGCACTGATGCATCAGGCAGAAGAGAAGTTCCTGGTTTTACGTCTGAGGGACAAGATTTTTCTGTAGGATCTGGAGAATTCTTAAGAAATTTCTGTGAATGTGTCTCGTGGTCTTTTGAAAACGTGCCATCCACACTTTTTTGGCCAAAAACTGCAAAAGAACAATCTTTCTCATCACTCTTTGTTTCAGCAGCACTAAAATTCACATCTCTTTTCTTCAGGCTATTTAAGTTGCCCTGTTGTCCAGTAAAATCTTGTGAAGTGTCAGATGAAATATCAGCTAAATCTATTTCGCCCTCTGACTTTGACATGCAAGTATCTTTTAGGTTCTTTAAAGGTAAAAGTGAGTCAGGTAGTGGTCTTTGCATTTCACCCATTTTTGGAGATACGTGGTTTCTTTTCAGATTGTCAGATGAACTTGGTCCTACTTCATTTTCACTTTCAGGATGAGATCTTATAGTCCTATTAATTGTAACACATAAACACAAACAACTCTAAGTATACAGAGTCACAAAATTTTAATATAAGTATATATTTGAAATTTATTCAGGAAAAGAGTTAAGATTTACATTTTCTCTTTCTGTTGGCAGTTTACAAAAGCAACGTTACTTCCCTAGTTTTACTCCCTTGGTTTGAATTTGGATACTTTTCCTGTTGAAGGTGATATACTCCACATTTCAAATATACTTCCAATAAGAAGTATACAGTGCTGCCAATACTATAATAAATTACTTTACGCTTTGGACATTTCCTGATAGAGGATTATATAAGTAGGAAAGTATCATTATTCAATTCTTTAGCACAGTTTCTAATTCACATACCTCCAACCCAGTGACAATCTTCTTTCCTGTAAATGGCTATATATAACTGGTGAAACCACCAGCTGTGCCCACCCCCCCAGAAGATCATCTTCTGTTATCACGAACTAAGATATTCTGTCTGCTCAAAGTCAAGAACAGGAAAAGCAGACCTCCAAAATACCTTGCCAATTTAATATCCTTGGCATTCCTACCTAAATTTAGACAGTCACAAGCAAGCTGAAGGAAGCTCCCATTACGGAAATGCCCAGCCAGACAGTTAATACAGATCCCCAAGACAATTATATCTTTTGGTGTCTCATCAAATTCTTTGAATTACATGTTGGAAAAGAACATGTTAAAAAGAACAAAGATGTAACCACTCCTCCAGTCAAGAGAAATTAATCTTTGGCCTGGAATTTGTATAGCCTACTCATGAAACTAAAAGCCTCATATTTCACTTAATCCAGCCTCCTTAAGAGGCACTACATTAATGATAACCTACATCATCATCCAACCCCATATAACACTTTGCCAGAGTTTCCAGAAAGTATAATTTTGACTTTATCACATTTCCAATGATGTTTCCGGGATGTCTCGAGTTTATAGATTGACAGCTGCCTGTAGGGTCTATCCTTTCATGGACTTTTTTAGGGGCTATTCTTCCATGATGATAGCACCTTATATTAACCTTACATTAGAATTAATTTTCCTGCTAAATGAGACAAACTTTGATTCTTTGAGTAGCAAATACCACCTATACTTAGCTACCAAAACTAAGATGATTATAGAAGTGGTTTGTGTTATCCCTCGAACACAGCCTATTCATCTTCATGCCGCTACACCACTATTTCAAGAGTCCTGTGTGCCAGGAAAAGGACCTGAGAAATGTAGTAAACGAAATGCTGCATTTAAAGAAGCAAAACCAAATAAGGCAGAAATGAGGATGCTTATTTTTTATTACACTCATTCTCCTTCATAAAATGGAAAAGATGGCAAAAATAAAGCTTGTCATAAATTAAAAATCTTACAGAGTTGAATGAGACAAAGATGGTTAACAAGTCCAGTGGTGCCACTTCATGTCAAAATGAGAAACGTATAAATAATGTAGTGAGTTTTTCATGAAAATAATTCAGTTTAAAGAACTAGCTTTTATTTTGAAATCATGTTCTTCCTACATCATGGTGTTAAAATATCCTTTTATGAAACAGTAGTATATTTATAATATGTGTGTGTCTATGACTAAGTTCCCACTTAGTTACATAAGTTGGCAATTTAAATCTTCTTAACCAATTTTGAAATGTGACTGGTCTATAAAATCCATAAGTTTAAAAATTCAATCAAATCACTTGTCCTATTGTTTTATGCCCTTTTCAGTAAACCAGTCACTAAGCCCCATCAATTTCTCAAATAATGTCTGTAAAATATGAATTTTACTTTCTTATTCTGTAAAACACCACTCTTTCCTAAGCTCCGGCTGACTTACTACTTCTAACTGTACTCAGAATCTCCTTACTTTTTTTTCTGGTGACGTAAAATTTTATTTTAAATTGTAAATGTTATTATATTCTGAAAATTATATTTTTTGCAATAATTTATTATTTATATTAAAATTTTAACTTCCATTTCAAATGAGGCCACAGCATTTTTCAAAAATCTTCATAAAGTACTAAAAACATTTAAGGACTGCCAGTTTCTCATCAAATCCCAAAGTTCTCTCTTGAGACAATGCTGTAATTTTGAACATGTGCCAAGGCCAGAGAATAGTGACTCTATGAACTAGTCCCATAGAAACTTCTCGGAAAATCCCAATCATAGCAGATGGGATTAGAATTCGAAACGTATCTTTTTGAGAACATGAGAATCTCCTTACTTTTAAATCATTGAAAAAACACCTTTCACAAGACATTATCTTCAATACTTACGGAACGAAGTTCAAACTCCTTAGGACTCACTTAAGATGCTGCATAACCTGCAACAAGTTTCTTCTCCCTCCTTAGCTTACTCTTGTCCCCTAAGTTACATGTATGATCCAGTAGAGGTATACAAACAAATGTTTTAGTCTTATTCCTTAGCATGTACTCGATTTTGCTTAGTTTTTCTTCAGACAGGGCTGATGCAACTCCTACCTTGGATGCTTGAACGCTCTCTTTTCTCTGTTGATTTTTGCGACATCTTTCATGTTAATCTATGTTTAAAAGATACAAAGAAAAACTACATTGGTGATGGTCTAAAATACCATATAAACATATATTATTTTAATATCAGATATTTGCATTTGCTTGTTTGGTCATTATCTAAAACTACATTCATTCATGACCCTCCCCTTCAAAAACCAGCGACTCTGCTCAAGTTCCCATATTTCATAAACGTTTGGAGGAACTTTTTTAAAAGGCAATTTGCAACAATCTTTTTGTCTCCACATTCTTACAACAAATCTCCGAGTCCATTTATGACTGCTCCCTCTTATATACCTTTTTCAGTAAACTAGTCGTTAAGCCCCTTGGAAATAATGGCTGTCAAATATGAATTTTCACTTCTTATTTTGTAAAACAGCCCCTTTTTTAAGCCCTGGATGACTCACTTCTCCTAACTGTATTCAGAATCTCTACTCTTTAAATCATTGAAAAAACAACATTTCCCAGGACGCTACCCTTCAATACATAGGGAGTTAAGTTCAAACTCCTCAGCCCTATATTTAAGACATTCTATAATTTAAAATAATATTCTCCTCCATCCGTAGGTTTCTCTTGTCCACTAAGTTAAATTTTTTCTTTTAGACAATTCTAAACTCATTTCTCAAATACTGTCAGTAAGTATTATGTCTGCTCATATATTTTCCATAACTTACTCTCTTCATTTTACCTTTATCTGATAACGTTTTTTCCTTTAAGGCAAAGCTATGGTCTGTGTTCTTCCATGAAATTAATAAGTAAACTTTTCTCTAACAATCTAATTTTTTTCTTTTTTTGCTTTTCTTCTTAATACTTACAACACCTTTTTAGTATCACACCCTCATTTTACTCTTGATATGGAATACACAATTTGTGTTCCTGTTGTGTTTTTAAAGTATGTTTATAAACTGGTTGTTTATTAAGCATTTTGCTATCAACACAGTACATGCAATAAACGATTAGTTTCCTAGTCTCTAAACTAGTTTAACTAACGAACACAGAGTAAAAGCTGAGAAAGAATTCTACTTTTCATTTTGCAAATAGGTTTCTCCTTCCTTACTTCTGAACTGAGAAATGCCTGAAAAATTTTAAGAGAAGCCTCTGAAAGTAGAGCAGGGCAATTGTTAGTGGGCTCCGGAGCTAGACTGCCTGTTTTATATCTGGGGTCTCCTCCCATTTACAAACTCTGTGACCTTGGGAAAGTGAACCTTTCTATGCCTCAGTTTCCATACCTTTAAATAAGATAATAATAAGTGCCTACATCACTAGGATTTTTGTGAATAATGAGTTAATATTTGTACAATTGTTAGAACAGTGCCAAGTACATAATAAATGCTGTATAAAATTTCAGTAAAACGTATTTATGTAGGACTCTAACCTCTTCAGAATCATCTACTTAAAAATATTTGTCCTATTTCTCCATGCGGATGATAATGGTTAAGGACACAGGCTCCAGTAGCCAGTTTTTAATATTCATTACATTGGGTATAGCCTTGTGACATAGAAGCAACTCAATAAATACTTGGTAACTTACTTAATTCACATTCATAATATTGGACTTTCCCTTAAGAAGTTATTAAAATTCACATTCTTCCAAGAAATGTTTTCTACATTAATTTAATTTTTAAGTTAAAAAGGGAACATTTGCAAGCTCTCTCATATCATTTTACAGATAATATGAACTGTTTAATCCAATACTTTAGTTAGTAAATTCATTTTATAAGGCAATATTTAAAGCATTTTCAAAATTCTGCAAACTGCCTTTGCTTAAAGAGTATACTTGTTCTCAAAAAGAATATTTACATAGGTTTCATTTTAAAACATTTGTTACCTTTTGTTTTTTACAACTGGAAACAGTAGTACTTTTTTCTTGTTCCTGAGAGTCTTCCCTTCTGTCTACAGTGATAGGTCGCTTTTTAGAGGAATTCGAAACGTTTTTCATTATGCGCTCTGAAATTGAGGGCACCTTCATACGAGTACTGGATTTACTGATACTCTTTCTAGGTTTTACATGAATATTCACTTTTTCTTTTCTGTTCAGTCGCATAGTCTTCTTTCTGTTATGTAGCATTTGGCATAGAATAAAGGAAACGGTTAACGTAGCATTTTTAGCACATATTATCTTCATATGTTCAATAGTTTTCATGACTTTCATAGTATGGGCCATTTTCCCTAAATCTCTCCGAGGGGCAGCCAGTATATTTTTGAGCAGTGTAGAAAACTGATTGTAGTTGTATTCTAACTCTGTCAGAGTGCTTCCATAATTTACGGATGCCGTATAAGGCACAAAGTCAATATATGTGGAAATGGAATACTTAGATTTCTTTAGAAGTTTTTTTATTTCTGAAAGTTCTTCAAGTTCTCTTGAGAACAAATGAAGAGCATATGAGCAATTAACAGCTTCATTATATTTGTAGATAATATCCAGATCTTTCTTAAGTTCAGAAATAGAAGTCTCTATCACTTTCCAAAGGCAATCTGTTGAGTTATCTTTAAGAAATGAAAAAGAAGCCATTTTTTCCTGGCAGTGAACCAGCTCAGGAAGAAGTGACAGATCAAACCAAAGCACACCTCGAAATCTCTGTTTGTCTAGTTTCTTTGCCATTGAGTTTTTAAGAAAGTGAATGGTTTCGGAGAGCATGACGATTTCAATATAGGTTTCAATGGCTGCAGGTTTTAAAATTATAGCCTCATGGCTGTGGTTTTTCACCATGTCCAAAACGTTTTCTTCAGTGATGAAAATATTATCTATGTTATCCTCTTGTAGCATCTGAAAGTATTTTTTTAAAACATCTAAGTGATCGGTACACCTCAAAGTAAGTTCCTGTAGCTTTCCGAAGTCTGCAAACTCCGCTTGATCCAGTATTTCACTAATGCTACAGATATCTGGGTGTGAAAGCAAAGTACTGTTAAACTTACAATTTTCTATGCTAATCGTTGCTTTGTTTATTAGATCATCTGACTTTCTGGAAGCAACTATAGTCTTCTCCTCAAGCCCAATACTGGAATTTTGTTCACTGCATAAATCTTTAGACAATGTATCATATATCTTCTGCAACTTAGAAAACGCACTTTGATTCATTCTGAGTAGCATTTCTTTGTTCTTCTTTCCTGAGTATTTTTTGCTGAAAGATTGTCTCCTCTCTTTCCAAAAAAGACTTTTTGCAGCATCAAAAAAGATATGTTCCAGACCATAAAGAGAGATTTTAATACTTACTGCCTCATTGCTCTTGATAAAATTAACTTTCGAGGAGATCATTTCTATGATAATCCACAGATGGTCTTGTTTTCCTGGATAGGAATCAGCTTTAGAAGAGTCTCCATACATACTGATCAGCTTTAAAGTACTTTTTCTTAAGGTTTCTAAGTCTCCTAAACTATCTCCAAAGTTAACTCCACAGGTAAACGGAACCGAAAGAGAAAAGTCAAAGCAATCAGAACAATGCTTCATCACCGCCTCGCACTCATTAATCTGCCGTTTGTATTTTAAGAATGCGTAGTATGAATTGTTCACCTTTTTGGTTTCCTCAAACAATTCAATTAATTGATCAAGATAGCTCTGCAACTCACAGAACGCATTATACTTTAACCTTCCTTGAAAAGAAGGATAGAAATTGGATTGTTGTTGAAATCCACGTGGCCTGCCGAACAGCTCACTGTACAATGTCTCATCATACCAAAGCAAGCTTCGAAACGTCGGTTCACCTCCTAAGAGTCTTTTTTTGTTTTCAATGAATTGAATAGTTTCCATCATCATCTGGAGTTCTACCAAGGAGTCAACAGCACACGGTTTGAGTTTCTGCTGGCAATTATTCCACAGGTTTTGCTCTACCAACAGTTCTCTTGAAATCAAGATTTGTTCAACTGAACATTCCTGCTTTCTCTCAAAAGCTTCAACAAATAAAGGGAGAATATTTTGACAAACCTTAGTTTCCTCTTGTAGAGTCTGCAAAGAAGACGCTTCATCCGCCCTCCTCAAAATTTGGGTTAGCCTAGCTACATGAGCTGAACGATTAGCTGAGCAATGGTTTTCTTTTAATTCATTCATGTATGATGTGGGCTTCTTCTGAGGAGTAGCGATTTTGGAAGTTTCAGAGTGGGCATGTAAAACAGGCATATGATTCATTCCTATAATGCCTGGTTTGGAATGACAGGCTATTTCTGAATGCAGTGTAGAGGCAGAATGAGAGTCATTACTAACTTTAACTCCCTGCTCTTTCTCTCTTTTCTTAAGCTGATTAGAAATTGTGTTATTCAAAGAGACTTCCTCAGTAGTATTTTTAGTGCTTAGATGAGGATCAATCAAGTTATTTTTAATTGTTTTCTCACTTGAGCAGGAGGATTCTTCCAAGATCTTATTCTTTTGATTTTTGTGCTCAGTCTTAACAGCTGATCCTTCAGTCATGCTTTTTTGGTGAATTAAATCTTTTATTTTTTCTGCTTGTTGAACTTCCCATGTTTTCCTGTCTTGAGTGCTTTTCTTTGCAATACATTTTTCTGAAGAAGAATCCTTTATATTATCTTTTAAGACCAGAGAACTATCATTGGAAAATAGTTTCTTCATTGTATTTTCCCCATGACTTTTACTTTCTTCATTTACTGATGTGAGACCCATCTCAGAACTCTCAGTAATATTTGTTTCATTCCTGTCTATATGGAAGCAATTACTTGAAGAGCACTGTTCTGTCTTTAGAAGTTCCTTTCCACCACATTCTTGCTGATAATGCAGTACACTGCTGGATGCTGCAAAAGAATCTACAGCAAAAATCCTCTGTTCATCCAAAGAGTGAGATTCTCCCTCACTATCTGTCACTGAAGTGGCTGATAACAACTGAGGAATATTGTTACACTTCTTACTTATCAGAGTTAGACTTAATGGGTCCACATGGAAGTTTCCTGTAATAATGCCTGGTTCAGAGCTCTCATTAGGAGCCACCCATTTTTCTAGAGGAAAATTTACTTCCAGGTTTCTTTTATAACCAGATAAAACAAGGTTATCTGGTTTGCAGATATCAACGTCTAAGAAGTGCTTCACATTTGATTCTAAGACTGAAATAACTATGTCAGTGTGAGCCATACAAGTTGCATCATAATTTTTGTCTGTGCTAAAACTTACACTGTTTTCTTTTATGCAACTCAAAGATACTGAATTACTTTTGTTTATTACTTCATTAGCCTCAGAATAGTTTTCTTTTGTTGCATCCTTAATACTACGTGCTGAATGGTTCTCAAGCTGTTCATATTTACCAATGTTAGATAAAAACTTTTTGTCAGTTTGATTTTCTTTTTTAGTTAGTTTCTCATCTGGGCAGTCTGTGGAAAACAGACACGCAGTTTCTCCAGAAGAGGGCTGAAGTCCTGATGATCCTGGACTTCTCACACAGCTATTGTTATAGGCTGACTGACTTGTACTTTGGGATGCGGAACACAGGGGTAACTGTGATTCAGGATCCTCTCGATCACAAAATTCTCTCATGTGAATAGTGGTATGACTTCTAGAGACACTGCTGGCCACATTTTTCGTAGAAAGGCACTTGGTAATTCTCTCTCCACTTGTTTTATAAGACTTGTGCTTTGATACATGAGTTAATGATTTATCAACTTCAAATCCCAAAGCTCTTTTTTCTCCTGGTTTGTCATATTTTCTTTTTGACAAAAAATGCTTAGAATAATATCTTCTTTCAGACACAGAACTATAACCATGAAGGTCACAACTTTCCCAGAAATTATTGCATATTATTGCATATGATTTTGGTAAGGGGCCTTTTCTTTTTTCTCCCACTTTAGCTATAAGCTGCAAAGATGTGTGAACTCTTCTATGAGCTTTTTGCAAGTGAAGAACAGCTCTGTCAAGCCTTCTGGAAAGACGTTTGCTTTTGCATAAAGATGCTTCACTATTTAGAATATCCAGGACACTCCTAATATGCTTTTCTGACAGTGAAAAGGTTTTAATTCGTCCTTGGGATAAGGAAGCAAAACATTCCGATGAGCCCTGACTGATTAGCCTTCTTTTCTTCCCACTACTTTTGTGACGTCTTAAATCTTTATCTGGTATGTTCCGGTCCCTAAAAAGTGTATGTGACTTTCTCTTGCTAATTCTCGATTCTGTGTCCTTTTTACGTCTAGTATCAATACAATCAGTTTTTGACTGTGTCAAGGAACATCTGCTTTCGTTTACTGTTGTGACATTAGCAGGTTCAGTAAGCAAAGGTCCACTGCTTTGTTCTTCAGACATGTGATTCGCATGTGTATTATGACTCAAATCAAAAGAAAGTGAGATTTCAGATTTATTCACTGGTCCTGATTCATGCCTCAGGTTACCACATTCATCTTCACACGGATAATCTAAATTTTCACCAGAACACTGGGAACAAATTTCAAACCTTGGAACTTTTGCTTCCTCCTCATTTATTTCTGGTTTTGTCGCTTCAGTTATATATTTGCAAAAATTATCTTTCAATGCAAAGGATTCAACAGTGGGACTATCTCCTGGCATAAACATATTAGTAATTCTAACTTGTAGATCTGGAAGTAAAACTGGGTTGAAGAGACCTGTTTTGGTTTTCTGTGTAGTGGAATAAAAACAATTACTTTCCTCAGAGTAATGCTGATCACTGTTCTCTCTACTTGTGGTGCTTTTCAAAACTTCCGTCTCTCCATTACTACCTCTTGACAGACCTTCCCAATCGATACGAGACTTCAGAGCCTCAAATGAGACCCTGAATTCTTCACACAGTACACTGCCATGACTGGGGGTATCTTGTTGAAATAGAAAAGCATCATCACACTGTTCTGATCCAACTTCAATCTCGTTTTCCAATTCAAAACTTTGAAGAATTGGGTTGTCACTTATTGATTGGTGAAATGGGTCGTGTGACTTATTTTTATCCACATCCATTTCACAATCAGAAACTGCATGTTTTATGAACAAACCAAAATCTGTACTCACTGAAGAACAAGTTTCTTTAAACTGGTATCCTTGGTGATATTCATGATTTGTGCCTAATGCAGGCACCACAGTACTGGCTATCTGTACTGCAGCATTTGAGGCTACGTGCACTGAAGAATCTGAAATTTCAGGAAACGTTGTGGAAGCCGAATGCTCCACACCTCTTCCAGTATTTTCAGTATCTTTTGGTTTTATGGCACTGATAGTATCTTCCCTTTCTAATAATGTAGTTTCTGTTGATACATATTTTTTTCCCCAAGTCAAATTCAATGTAGTAGAAAAACCTTCGGAATCCACAATTTCTACACTATTGTAATTTTTATTCTCCCTCCTTTCAGCTATATCAGTGAAATTTTCGTTTGTATGAAAACTCTGCTTCTCACCTCCATATATTTTCTCTATGCTGTCTTCTGTAGATGAAGCAATGTCTTCCTCTTTAGCCTCATTTTGGTTTTCTTTATCATTATCTCTTTGTTCTTTGAAATCAATATTCAGGTGTATATCATTGTTCAACTGCGCATTAGAGAACTGAGTATAATCTTGACTATTATCATCAATTTGAGGAGTTTCCTCGCAGTCTCTTTGAAAGTTCTCTAATGACAACAGATCATTTTGATTTCTCCCATTGACACGTATATGTTCTCTATATATGTTGCAGTTTGAATTGTCTTGAGATGAAACAACTGTATCATTTGGCAGTACTTTGGCCTGGGGATTGTCTTTTGCTTCCTGGAAAGCATCAGTCATAATGCTAACACAATTCTGATTTGGTTTTTCCAATTTCAGTTCCATTAGTTTTTGAGAAATGGCAAAACTTGTATGAATGTTATCTTCATACTCCAAAGAGTGCTGACGATGCTTTTGTGAAATGCCCTCTACTTTGGGAGTAAGACTGTTTTGTAATTCCAGTGCTAGATGATCTAGCTCATACTTATCCTTCGTGGTAGATGTGGAAAATTTTGGTATTTCTAACTCTTGAGTAATTAATATTTGATCACTATTTTTTCCAGAAGAATCAAGACTCTCAACCTTTTTGCATTCTTGGTGAAAAGAAATGTAACTATCCACTGGACTGATTTTTGTTTCATTAGCAAAATTATTATCAATTTCTTTCCACAAATTTTGCTTTTCTCCAGGTTTCAAATTGTCTTCCGGGCCAGTGAAGTGTCTCACCTTTCCAATATTTTGAATGTAGTCATGTATGCTTTCTTTCCTTTGGAGTTGAAAAACTGTAGCCATCTGGTGACCAGTCTGATAGTTAGTTTCTAAATTAGAAGACTGTGATTCCTGAGAGATGTGACCATTGTACCCTTCTGTAGAGGTATTCACTGCTTCGTAAGAGTTATGCGGCTCACTGTTTTGTTCAATTAAAAGTGGGATGTTACTTCTCTGTTGGGATCTCTGGGCTATTTCCTCACTGTGGTTGTAGTTCTCAACTTCTGAAATTACACTTGACAAACACACTGGGAAGGAAAAATTGTCTTGGCCCTCACGCTGTCCTGCCATGGTAATTATATTAGAAGATGTATAATTACAGCTGTTAAAGTCCATGGTATGAATCTGAGACTGTGAATCATCAAAAGAAATTTTGAAGCCAGGGGCATCCAAACAATTAGTAAGAAGAGCATGATCACCAGGCATGACTTCAGATGAGGAGGCAGAATTAGTTGGCATAGATGATAGGTTTACTCCTGAATTAACAACATCTAAACTCTTCTCAAATGGTAAAATCTCATTTAAACCTGTAATATTACTATGTTTTCCCATGCCACCTTCTCTCCTCATCAGTCTTGGGTCTTTGATGAGTTTTGAAGTAATAACTGTGCTTGAGTCAATATTGTTATGAAGGGGAAAAGCAGCAGAAAGATTACTTAAAATATTTTTAAGATGTGTCAAATTTAACAAGAGGTCACCATTTACACTTTCTCTGCTATCAGTGGGAATAAATGAAAGACCTGAATCTTGTGCATGCACTTGAGACGTATCTCTACATTCTGCTAAACTGTGCTCCATCTGTCCATTGTGTGCTTCAAGCACAGAAATGTTTCCACTTTGCACATTTCCATAGGAATTAGAAATAGTTGAGTTGGGAGGATTTATCTCTGAATTTAGCGCATTGCACGAACAGTTTTCCCGGACAAATGGATCTACAGGTTTCCTGAAATGCTCAAATATGACAGTAGCATCTTTTCCTTTTCCAATTCTTTTGGCCACTGTACAGTTATTCAGAGAGCATGTTCTTTCTGTGGAAATAATAAGAAAGGAAAAATAGGAGAAAAAAGTGTTTCTATAGACTATTAATACAAGTTAACTATATTATGAGCAATTTTAACTGAAAGTTCACCAAATAACCTAATGATAATTAAAAATATGTTCTCAGCAGAAAAAGCAAAAAGAGACGAAGATGAATAACAAACTGATAAAGTATAAATGATGTAGCATGAAACTCTGTCCTAGTCTACGAACCTTAAAACTATTTGCCATAGAAAAGTTTGAATTCTGACACATACTAAGAAACAGAAAAATTAAATAGAAATAAAACAATATTCATAGACTACATATTTCTTATATTAATTTCATATTTAGATATTTAATAATAAAATTTACATATTAATAGGCAAAACTGTCTCCCTCTATCTACTGTTACCTTGCTTCTTTTCCCTCCACCATGAGAGAACAAAAATGGAAAGGAAAGGGAAAGGAGGCAGAGAAGCTGAGGGAAAAGATCAAAAAGGTTCCACAAAATCCTTCCCAGGAACCAAAGCAAATCACTACCCTGCTCCCTAGTGAAATAAGTATTCCTGCAAATAATACATGCAAATAAAACCTGGAAAATAAAAGCGAATTTTCTTTTATAATTTAGAGAGATTTATTCCTAAAATTTCATAAAGAACTTCATGTAATAACAAAGGAACTCATAACAATGCATATTTAGCAAGTAAAATCTTTGCAAAGCATTCATAGCTGAGTAATACCATAAAAATACTTATATTAAAACAGACGTTGATGGAAAATTGCTTGTGAGATTTATGACACACATGTACCATGAGGTTCTTTTTCACTATATGTTGAAAGATAGCTTTGCTGAAGTTTTCTAAATTCTATAATCATTTGTGATTGTACTCTTTTAATTAAAGTAAGCTACAGTGGAAATATGAGAAATAGAGAGGTAGTTCTTAAAAATGGGACCTACAGCAGAAAAAAGGAAAGGTGGATCCCTATACCTCTTTATACCAAAATAAAATAAAATTCATTGTGGAAAAAACATAAAACCATGAAAGTATTAGAAGAAAACATGGAGAGATAGTTTTATAACCTTGAGGTAGGAAAGTAGTTTTTAAGCATGTCTGGAAATCAGAAAACCAAAAATGAAAATGTGATGTTAATTACATATAAATTAAATATTTTAATAGGTCAAATGTGTGATAAACAAAACTAAGAAGGATAAACTGACAAAAAGATATTCTGAATGAGACAAGCTTAGAGCATAATTACATATATATTAGAATACATAAAGAGTATATAGACATCTTCAAAAGATTAATAAAAAGACAACACAAAAGTGGGCAAATGTATGAACAAGAAAATCACAGATTAAATAAAAATTGTCAACAAACACAGAAATATCTCTAACCCCACTAACAATAAGATTCATATTAAAAAACTTTTTAGAGTGGCAAAAATTTTGAAGGATAATTAATATTCTGCAGATGTAAGCATTCTTTATATTGTTCACAGGAGTATAAACTGGTACTAATTCCCTGGAAAGTAAACATATAGTATTCATTGCGATGTAATGTATAACCATCTATACCCAGCAAATCTACTTTTACACATTTATTAGTCTAATACACTTGGCCAAATACCCAAGATATATGGACAAGGATTTTTAGCACAATAATCTAAGAAAACTGAAAGATAGAAACCTATCTATCAATATGAGATTGGTTAAATAAGTCTGGCATATCAATAATTATAACAGTAAAAGTACTACGTGCATATGCTAAAAGAATGCCCTAGAAACAGAACGTTATGCAGCTATTACAAAGACTAAGATACATTAATACAAGCCAACCTAATCACTTAAGTTTAATGATCTCAATTTCATAAATGTATGGTAAATGCATATTTTAACATATACATAATATTAATAACTTATAAAGTACTTAGTGTGAACGCCAGATATGGTTTTTCTAAGTGCCTTATGCATATTAATTCATTTAATGTTCCCAACATTTCTATCAATGAGAAAGTGAAGTTAAGAGTAATTTGCCCAGGATCACAGTTATAAGCAGCAGAACCTTAATCACTATGTTACGCTATTTGTTTAAACTTAATAAAGGCATTTTAAATTTATTCCCATATTTGGAATTCTTAAATACCAAACGAAAAATGGAGAACCTAATATCTTCAATAAAATAAGAAAGTGTAAAAAAAGTGAAATTACAATCAATAGTTATTAGCACTATATATTCTGCGATGATGGACAGCTTCTTTATCTGTGCTATCCAATACCAAAAGCCACGTGTGGTTACTGAGCACTTAAAATGTGCCTGGTATGACTGAGGAATTAAAATTTTAATTTAATTTAATTTAAATAGCCACATGTGAATAATGGCTACTCTCCTGGATAGCACAGGTCTAGAGTACTCTAGAAGGAGATGAGTATGCTGATAGCCAACACATGTGACCTTGACTTTGGGCATAATATAGGTATTCCTCAAAGTTTATCATGCTGAAAGGCATCATCCTTGATTAAAGTAATAAGCTTTAAGATTATGGGTGGGCTGGAGTAGAAGTGGGGAAAGGTTCTCATGTATTGTCTCCATGTGAAGCCTTCTAGCTGAGTGGTAATGTGGTTAGAATGACTATACAGAAGATCATTGAGAAAATTGAAACTTAAGCAAACTATAAACCAACTGGACCTAACAGACATCTACAGAACACTCTATCCAACAACAGCAAAATATCTATTCTTTTCAAGTGCACATGAAACACTGTCCAGGACAGACCACATGCCAGGCTATAAAACAAACCTCAATAAATTTAAAAGAAGGACAACACAAATTTTATTCTCCAATCACAATGCAATGAAATTAGAAATCAATAACAAAAAGAAATTTGGGAAATTCATATTTACATAAAAGTTAAACAACACACTTTTAAAAAACCAACGGGTGAAATAAGAAGTCAAAAAGGAAATTAGAAAATACTTTGAGATAAATGAAAACGAAGACACAACATACCAAAACTTAAGGGATGCAGCTAAAATAGTACTTACAAGGAAATTTATAGCTGTAAATACATATGTTTTCAAAGAAGACAGATGTCAAATCAATACCCTAACCTTCCAACTTAAGACACCAGAAAAAGAGTAAACTAAACCTAAAGCAAACAGAAGTTAGGAAATAAAGATTAGAGAGGAAATTAAAAAAACAGAGAATAGAAAAACAATAGGGGAAAAAAAAGCAACGAAACCAAAAGTTGGTTTTTGAAAAGATCAGCAAAGCTGAAAAACCATTGGCTAGACTCACCCAGAAAAAACAGAGACAAGACTCAAATTAGTAGAATCACAAACAAAAAAGTGGATATTACTACCAACCTTATATAGAAATAAAAAGGACTGTAAAGAAATACTATGAACAACAGTATGCCAATCAATTAGGTAAGTTAGATGAAATGGACAAATTCCTACAAAGACACAAACCACCAAAACTGATGCAAGAAAAAACAGAAAGTCTGAACAAGTGAAGAAATTGAATGAGTAATTAAAAAACTACCCACAAAGAGAAGCCCAGGCCCAGGTGGCTTTACTAGTAAAGTCTACCAAATACTTGAAGACAATTAATGATAATTCTTCATAAACTCTTCCCAAAAAATGGAAGAGGAAGAACCACTTCCCAACTCATTCTATGAGAACAGTATTACTCTGATACCAAAATCAGACAAAGATATCACAAGAAAACTACACATCAATATCTCTTATGAATATGGACACAAAAATCCCCACAAATTAGTAGCAAACTGATTCCAACAACATATAAAATGACTATACCATGACAAAATGGGATTTATCCCAGGAATGCAAGGTTTGCTTAATATTTGAAAATTAATTAGTGTTGATACACCACAGTAACAGAGTGAAGAATAAAAATCACATGATCATCTCAAAACACAGAGCAAAAGCATTTGACAAAATACAATACATGATACAAACACTCAACAAACTAGGAATAGAAGGGAACTTTCTCAACATGATAAAGGACATCAAAAAACCCCACAGATAACTTCATACTAACTGGTGTGAAAGACTAGATGCTCTCCCCCTAAGTTTAGGAACAAGATAAGAGATGTCCACTCACCACTTCTATAAACATTCTGCTGGAGGTCCTAACCGGGGGAATCAGGTAAGAGAAAGAAATAAAAGCCATCCAGATTGGAAAATAAAAAGTAAAACTGTCTCTATCTGCAGATGACCTGATATTGTATGTAGCACATCCCAAGGAAACCAGTAAAAAAACTTTAAGAACTATTAATGAGATGAGCAAGGTTGGAGGATATAAGACAAGTACACAAAAATGAACAGTATTTCTATATACTCGCAATTAACAATACAAAAATGAAACTGAGAAAATAATTCTATTCACAATAGGATCATATTAATAATACACTTAGAAATAAGTTTAATAAAAAAAGTGTAAAACTTATACCTTGAAACTTCACACCCACTAGGATGGCTATAATCAATAACTCAGACAATAACACACGTTAACAAGGAAGTGGAGAAATCCTAATCCTCATACTCTGCTGGTATAAATGCAAATGGTGCAGCCACTTTGGAAAAGTCTGGTAGTTCCTCAAATGGTTAACACAGAGTTACCAGGTGACCCAGCACTTCCACTCCTAGCTATATACCCTAGAGAAAGGAAATCACATGTCTACAACAAAACTTATACAAGATTGTTCACAGAAGAATTATTCATAATTGCCAAAAGGTGGAAACAACCCAAATGTACATCAACTGATGAATGGATAAATATACGTAGTATTGTCTAACAACAGAATATTATCCCATAAAAAGGAATGAAGTATTGATACATGCTACAACATGCCAGAACCTTGAAAACACTGTTAAGTGAAAGTCACCAGTCATGAAAGGCTGCATATTTATGACTTCACGTACACGAAATGCTTAGAATAGACAAATATATAGACAGAAGGCAGATTAGTGATTGCTTAGGGGTGGAGGACATGCAGGGAAAAGGATACGATAGCTTTTAAAAGGGTACAGAGTTTCTTTTTGAGGTGATCATGATAACATATCACACTCACTAGGATGCCAGAAAAAAACATTTTTCAAAAAGTATGTGTGTTGGCAAAGATGTAGAGTAGTTATGTAACCTGATACAATCACTTTTGAAAACTATTTGACATTGTCTTTGGATTAAGCTGCACATTCTTTTCTTTTTTCTTTTTGCTGATGAAGATTAGCCCTGAGCTAACATCTGTGCTAATCTTCCTTCACTTTATATGTGGGTCACTACCACAGCATGGCTGACAAGTGGTGTAGGTCTGTACCTGGGATCCGAACTTGCAAACTGAGGGTAGTGAAGTGGAGTGTGCCGAACTAAACCACTATGCCACAGGGCCAGCCCCTAAGTTGCACAGTCTTGATGCAGATATATACCTATAGAAAAACTCTTGCACATATGCACTAAGAAACTTACATGAATGTTGAAAACAGCAAGGTTTGCAATATGAAGAAAACTGGAAAGTATCCAAATCCCCAGAGAAACAGTGTATAGCCACAAAAAGCAGTCACACGCATGTGTTTATATGTATACATAGGAATTACAATGAAGAAACTACAGTTATCATCTCAACATGGCAGAATCGCACAAAGATAATACTGAGCAAAAGAAGTCACAAAAATTATCTGCAGTATAATTCCAGATACATAAAATCAAAATAGGTAAAGCACAACTATTTTGCTTAGAGATTCATAATATATTATCAAACACTATTCAGAAGTTATAAAACCAGTACAAATGCTACTGAAGTAGAATAATATATATATCTTACCAGCCTTCTTAGAAATTCCTGTTGAGAGAAATCTCAAAGATGTCATAAAGTGTCCATTATCTACTTTTTGACCAATAAATTTCACCGTTACTATTGCATATGGTAGACACTGCCTAGGTTTATCTACTGGTTTTGAAAGAACATTGTATTCATAGAAGTAGACCTGAAACATAAAAAAGAAGAATGAATATTTTTATGCTGATTAATTTAGCAGACTTGAATACACTCATATTAAAAAAAACTATATAACTGCATGGTGTTATTTATTCATCTGCTTCTATATATCCTCTTCTTCTTGCCTTCTTCAACCCTAGATTTCTGAAGATGTGTGAACTTTTTTCCCCACCACTTATTTTTTCTTTAGTAGGCTACCAATACCAGCAGAAGCACACACAACCTGTCTTTAAATAGAAAGGTATTTTTCCATTAAAAGTTCAATGTTTTGTATATGCTGTGAACCACTATACTATATTTTATTTGGTAGGAAAAGTTAATTACAAAAATAATAGCTCACTTTACATGTGGGAGCATATATATACTTCTAGATTTATCCTCATTTAATCATATATATTATGTTATATATAATCTTCTATAGAAGATTAAAAGTCTACTAAGTGTGTCAGCAACATATGACAGAAAATCACTGTTTCACACATAATGACTAACACATAAGTCTTTTCTCCTTTTGCAAAGTAGAAAAGATTAATAACATTATTTCACAATAGCCTTGTTTAAAAAAAAACTGGCATGTTTTGCAAGTTAGGAATTTATTTATGGAATACCTAAAGAAAAGCAACTACTGTACTTTGCACAAAGTTAAATGTAAATCTGGAAACTTTTTTATCCATTCCCACAAATATTAAGAGAGCTTTCACAATTTATTTATTTAAGGACATATTATATTGAATGCATTAAGAGATTTTCATTTAATATTTTGGGAAGTTGTTTTAAGTCTTGTATCGTATTACGTGAAGCATGTGACCTTCAAGTAGTCAGATGAACCCAAAAGTTAACATACAGCTGAACTGTAGGCTTGTAGCTCAATGGTATCTTTCAGAGAAGGTATATTTCTTGACATGTGGCAATCAAAGTTAGGAGAAGGATCCAAAGAAACTTTGTTTTTATCCACTGAAGGCTGAATTTTCTTCACTTTTCCAAAGAGAACCTAAAAAATAAAAAAGCAGAAAGGAGATATATAAAAATATACCAAACACTTTAAACCCTCACACTCAAACAGAAAAGTAAGGCTAACATTTTTTAAGGAAACAAATACAAATGAAGACATAATCCATGTGCCAGATAAATGACTGGGATGGCTTACCGTAATTATGTCTAATTAAATTAAACTCTAAGACCAGCCTTACCCCTAAATTAATTTAATTACAGTCTAAACCCCCAAATTAAACTCTAAGATTATAGTAATTCAATAAAAATCTATTTGTACAAACGAGTTTTAGTCTAAAAATTTACCTGGAAGGCTAAACAAAACAAGCATACTCCAGAAAGTTTTGAAAAAAGATTTTTGAAAAACAATTGGGGGTTAAGGATAGAGAATGATGGAACAAGACAGGTGACTTACACTTTCAGATATTAAATACTTTTTTACAAGGATGGTACTACCACAATAAAAAGCAGAGAGGGGGAAAAAAAGCTGAACCAAATAAAAAGCCCAGATAAGCCCAAGCGTCTATAGAAATATAATATCAAAAGTACCATTTGAAATAAGTGAAGCAACAGATTATTCAATAAATAGTGTGGAACAACTGCAAAAACTTAAATTTTTTTCTTAATCTATAAACCAAAACAAATACCAAACAAGTTAAATATTTAAGTAATGCAAACATTGTAGAAAGAAACACAAGCAAATATTTATCTGATCTCAAAGGGAGAATTCTTTTCTAAATATGTGCCAAGAAACCATGAACCAAAAACAGAGACTTCACCGTAAAATATTCCAAAACTTCTGTATATAACAGAAGTGATGTATATTCTGTACAAAAACGAGTATAAAATTTAAAAAAAATGAACATAATTAAGTGATAAAAGACAAGACAGAAGAAAGTGTAATTAACATGAAAACAAGTACACATTTTAGTTAGCAATTCTAATAATGTTATTTTAAAATATGTTAATATACTCATTCAAAATTAAAAACAATACTAAATGTAATGTGATATGCTGCATTTGGATATTGGAAGAGAACAAACCTTAGTGGAAAAACTGGTAAAAAGCTGAATAAAGTCCATAGTTTAGTTAATAGTACTGTACCAATGTTACTTTCCTTTCATTTCATTATTTTTAAAATTTTTTTATTAAGATAGAATTGACATACACAATGTTAGTTTCTCAGTTTTGACAAATGTGCCAGAGTTATGTGAAATGTTAACGTTAGGGGACGCTGATGAATTGTATATGGGAACTTTCTGTACTATCTTCTTGACTTTTCTGTAAATTTAAATTTACTCCAAAATAAAAAGTAATTTTAGGTTTCAGAAAAGTTGCAGAAGTAGTTCAGAGGTCCCACATAACTGTACCCAACTTCTCCTAATTAACATCTTACATACAAGGCAAAATCATCAAAACTAAGAAATTAACATTGTATAATACGATTAATTAAAATAAACAGTAAGAGTTTAGTAACTTGAGCTACAGCTAGAATTATTATAACCAATGATTTGGAGAACGACACTTAAAACACTCTGGCATTAATCATGGTCTGAAGAAAAAGAGGAGAGTCAATTAGGACAGAAAAAATATATATTGGGAAGACAAAGATGATAAAGGCTGCCTTTGTTTACTTGGAGTTTTGTTTTATGCTGCACACCCAACTAGAGTCAGAAAGAGGGGGAAATTTCAAATGATGATGATGATAATGGTAGATAATTATCATTTATTTTATATACTGCCACTTAAAAACACTAACAATTCTTATTGAAAGGAAAATATATTCAGGTCAATTTAAAGCAAAGTGAATATAATATTTAATATTTGTTTTATGCTACCTACCTTAAAAATTATAATACTTTCTACAGTAATGCTTCTACTGTGAGCATAATTCAAGGCAACATCAACATGTCTAAACATATAAATTCCAAGAAGAGGATTTCCTAATATCTTCAATGTAGATGCTCTGGTACTTATCCCATTCTGATGTATCTCAGCCACATCACTCTGAGGAAGTGCTAAAAAGCAGAAATGTTCTTCAAGCTCTCTGCCATGTCTTCCACTCTCACGCATCTCTGACCTAAAGCAAAACAAACAGCATTTAGTTATATGAGAATATCAACAGCATTTTCACGGAGAAGATAACTATTTCAGCTTACTACAGTTAGAATGCAAGACAGTTACAGTCATGCAATGCATGACGACACTTTGGTCAATGACAGAGTGCATATATGACAGCGGTCCCATAAGATTAGTGCCATATAGCCTAGGTGTATAGTAGGCTATACCATCTAAGTTTGTCTAAGTTCACTCTATGATGTGCACACAATGACGACATCGCCTAATGATGTATTTCTCAGAATGTATTCCTGTTAAGTGATACAAGACTGAACTGACAACATTCAGAGGTGTCACTATCCTACGGTAACATGTTATGCTGAAAATCACTCAAGGAAAGGAAAGAACAGAAGAAGTAGTTAGATAACCACTTGTCCAGGGTTACGGACTATGTTCTTTATAGGCTAGCGATGATAAAGGCTAACGTTTTCTGAATGCAGCTATTATGCCTAGCACTGTTAAGACTTAATTGCATTTTGTCATTTTGTTCTCAACTCCCCAAGAATTGAGTTGCTATTCTTCTTCTTATGGCTGTTGTTTTACATATTCTTAAAATGAAGAATCTGAGGTTCAGAGAGTTAAAACTTGCCAAAGTAGTAAAGCGACAGAGTTGGAATTATATATGCCCCAGCTCTTATCTGTTAGGTTCCAGAGTACAAGTTCTTACTCATTTGTGTTAGGGAAGGAAGAATGTACATTTCTTAAATACATATATATAGAGAGACACATACACACATGTATGGTCAGTTATTAGGGACATTTTCCATTCTTCATGGATCTAATTAACAGCTGTGAGAAACAAGCTAGGATTTGATTACAGACTCCTATCTTAGTAGTAAGAAAATTATGAATCATCCTCAGAAAAGATAATGTAAGGTATAGATACTCTTAAAATTTCAACGACATTCCACAACAAGAACCACTTAAGCATATGAAACAAAAACTTTTCCTACCCCCCAAATTGGGAGATTACATACATAGGGAGTTCTATATGGCTCGCTCAGGTGTAGCAGCAGCAGCAACTGCCACACCAGGTGGTACAGAGGTTCAATCACTAGCATAGAAGTGTGATTCCAAATGATTATCAGCAATGGAGAACCAACAGAACCCAGAAATTAATGTGTACACTACAAAAGGAAAATTGTTCTTGAAAACCAGTAAAAAAAATCAGTATTTTTTATTTCTTGGAACACTACTCATAGAATTTGTATAAGTATGCTATGCACACTGGCATATTAACATTTATTTTATTTGCAAGAATGACACACCATTAACAGCAGACAGGGCCACAAAACACAAGGCAAGAGTTACAAGCGATACTGATCATAACCACTTCTCTCTCAGTTCCCGGAAATGTCAACCTTAACTTCCAACTCTACACGTCATCATTTCCTGCTCTTGCTTTCAACTTGACATCAGTAGATTCTGTGAACCACTAACATCCCTATGCTAATTGTTAAGGTTTAATTCTCACAGAAGAATTATAAGTGTTTTTTCTTCTTTTCCAATTTCTCAATTGGTGTTTCTCAGGGTCCAAAAAAACATCAACTTTCTGAGCAATGCCTGGAAGGAATTCCCACATGAAAGCACTAACAGCAGCAGCACAAAGGATGGGAGGAAGGGAGGAAATCAAAGTATGTTGTTGTAAGGTTCTTGCACTACGCATGAATAGAACACTGTGGTAAATTAAAGATGTATAATGTATAATGTAAGCCCTAGACAGCAGGGTTTCTCAACAGTGGCACTACTGATATTTTGGGCCAAATAATTACTTGTGTTACTGAGTCATCCAACTGGTTAATTATATTCTCTTAAGGAATTGAGTAGAACGAAAAAACATAACTTCAGAAAGATCTGACCCAGGGCTCCAAAAACCTATATAAATTAAAGTAGAGAATATTCCCTGGAGTTTATATTGGTAAAAATACCGATAAATACTTCGTAGTTTTCGAAGTATGTTTTCAGAATTCCTTGTGAAAAAAATTTAGGATTAAATATGATTTAGATAATAAAAATGACCAATAAAAATATTAGCCTTTATGACTATGTCTAGGTCTAAAAAGTTTGGTAAAATATTGACTTTTCAAAGTTATTCAGACACTAGCATCTATGTCAATTCATTAAATGACAGAAGCTCTGAGTCTCAAGATTTCCACTTCAGAGACAACAGGTAAAATAAATCCAAATAGTTTACATGTTTACAGTAACATGTAATCAGATAAGAATATAAAGACCGAGTACGTACAAAGTGCTCTATTATTTAGAGACATTAATACACATCAGATTCTATGCTAAGGGATAGTTAAATAAATGTAAAAGACTTAGATAAGGAAACTCATATTGATGGAGAAGTTATTATAAGTTAACATAGCACAATGAACGAATGGTAGAAAACAGGATTAGAATCTTGGACATCTTTTGGAAGACCACAAACTTATAATTAACTCTGTGCTACCATGTCTATCTACTGAAATCAACTACAACAGAGTACAAAGTATAAGTGTCTCAAATAGAATGCCTATGTCATAGTTAATTACATTATACAGAACAGGTTCCAAGATAATGCGTACATACTAGGTAATGAATAATTTTATGTTGAATACATGAAACACTGGAAGGATCATATCTCCAAGTTTAACTGGAAACAAAAAGCATGCTATTTAGCTACTGCTATTGGTTATTTAGCTACTGCTATTGGCTATTCAGCTACTGGGCGTGCCTAGGGGAGAGAATGAAAGTACTCAGGTATGTTTTTTAGGAAATAGTTAAAGAAAATGAAGTAATTGCCTTTGGAGAGCTTGAAGGAGAACTTAATTGTTTTCAAGTCCATCAGATTGCTGGTGATAAGTGATCACTGTTCAGCTGGCAGAAAGTGCAATACGTGAAATGAAGGATCGACAGCAAGAGAAATTGGGATTCAACAAAGTTTAAATAAGAAATTTTTGACTCAAGGGTAGTGATGTCACAATGATGGTGTAGGAGATCCCAGCCTCTGGCCTCTCACGAAGATCAACAATTAGACAACTATCCACGAGAAAAAACAGCTCTGGGAGAGCTCTGGAGTTCTTTTAAGAAACTTGAGCAACATGGTGTCACAAAAAATTTGAGAATAACTGCACAAAAAGGGAAGGAAGAACAGCTTCAACTTGCCTGCATCATCCCAGCCCCTAAGCTGGCACTACTCAGTGCCAAGAGGGTAGAAAGATTTCCCCTCACTGGGAAAGTGACAGCAGGGTGAGTGACCAGCTTCCCCAGCCTTTAGGGGGACCACATGACGGACCTGTGTTGGTTTCACCACAACCAGAGACCAGTAAAGCTAAGTCATACAGAAACCACTAAGAACAAAGAAGAAAAGCAGGCGCTACCAACATCAGCCACGCAGCAGGAACAACCATGGTTTCCAGTGACCTGCTCTGCAACAACTCCAGCAGCTCTCACCACTGAAGAAACTAATGGCCATCACAGCTGCTGAAGATCCCTGCAAACTTCATCAGCTTTTACTCCACGTGTATTTGCGTTTGCTGACACCATCTGCCCAAGTCCCTCCCCACCCCCTCTCCCCCAACTCAGCCCTGGTGGGAGCCTGGGATCCCCACCAGCAGCCAAGCAATGCCTCTGCAGCTGCATGAATGCAACAGATCACTTTAGACTCCTGCAGCTGACACCCACCAACTTGCGAATGCTCAGGCCTAGCCCCTCTAGCAGTGAACTTACACACTGCCAGCTACAACCAAGGTCCGTCACCATCCTGAATTGCTGTGTTTACCCCAGGGCAAGATCCTGTAGCCACGTTAAACCACACTGACAGCCAACTGCATGTGGGCTCAGATCGAGTCCTGTCTTCTGTCACTGGCCTGCACCACTAGGCTCACCTGCAGCTAGCCCCTCTAGCTATGCACCCACATAGCCCCAACCTAATCTCTGTCACTGGCCTCCACTGGCATTTGTCCATGGCAAGATCCAGCAGCCACAGTAGTGCATGCCAACATTCAGGACCCCTACTGCTGCCAGTGCACCTAGCCCTTGCTGACTGCCCTGGCCCCCACCACTACATGTGTATTTGCAATTGGCCCCTGACACAGGCACCTGCAACTGGCCCCGCAGTCAAGTGTGTGCTCACCACTGGCTCAGGCTACTACTGCTGAATACCCTGGTCCCTAGCTGATAAACTTGGAGGAGCTGCTAAAAATCTCTATAGTCTTTGAAGCTTCTGTGGGCTCCAGGCAGTGCTCACCAAAGACCATACAACTGTCAATGCTTGTGCATCCTAAGGCCTGATCCAATGAATCACCATACCCCACCACAGACCTGGAAGAACCACATGCCTCCCCATTTAGTGTCCTGCACCCCTAACCTGGGGTCACAGCATACTCCAGTGTGCCCCCACCTGAAGGTGAAGGTCTTTCCTTACCAAAGTCAGTCCACAAAGGCTGGAAGAGGTAACTACTACTTCAGATGCACAGACATGTACGCAATGCTACAAGGATCATGAAGAATCAGGGAAACATGACTCCACCAAAGGAACATAGTAAACCTCCAGTAACCAGCTCCAAAGAAATGGATGTACAGGATTTTCCCTACTAAGAATTCAAAATTGTTCTAACGAAGTACAACAAAACACAGATAAACAATTTAATGCTATCACAAAAACAACACAAGAACAAAATGAGAACTTCAACAAAGAGAAAACATAAACAAGACCCAAACAGAAATTCCGGAGATGAAGAATACAATGACTGAACTGAAGAATTCAATAGAGAGCTTCAACAGCAGACTAGATCAAGCAGAAGAATAAGTGAGCTTGAAGACAGATCATTTGAAATTATCTAGTGAGAAGAGCAGAAAGAAGAAAGAATGAAAAGGAATGAAGAAAGCCTACAGGTCTTATGGGACACCATTAAGAAAACAATCTACACATCACTGGAGTCCTGTAAGGAGGAGAGAGGGTGATAAAGTAGGAAG